TGGCGAAAGCAACTATTAACGTAAGAATCTTATTACTAATACGATAATACCCTTAACAAAAATCAACAAAAAGCCAACATCACGCGGTGTTCCCAGGCGGTCACCCATCCAAGTACTGACCGCGCCCGGCGTTGCTTAACTTCGGTGATCGGACGAGAACCGGTGTGTTCAACGTGGTATGGACGTTGGCGAAAGCAACTATTAACGTAAGAATCTTATTACTAATACGATAATACCCTTAACAAAAATCAACAAAAAGCCAACATCACGCGGTGTTCCCAGGCGGTCACCCATCCAAGTACTGACCGCGCCCGACGTTGCTTAACTTCGGTGATCGGACGAGAACCGGTGTGTTCAACGTGGTTTGGACGTTGGCGAAAGCAACTATTAACGTAAGAATCTTATTACTAATACGATAATACCCTTAACAAAAATCAACAAAAAGCCAACATCACGCGGTGTTCCCAGGCGGTCACCCATCCAAGTACTGACCGCGCCCGACGTTGCTTATCTTCGGTGATCGGACGAGAACCGGTGTGTTCAACGTGGTATGGACGTTGGCGAAAGCAACTATTAACGTAAGAATCTTATTACTAATACGATAATACCCTTAACAAAAATCAACAAAAAGCCAACATCACGCGGTGTTCCCAGGCGGTCACCCATCCAAGTACTGACCGCGCCCGACGTTAATTAACTTCGGTGATCGGACGAGAACCGGTGTGTTCAACGTGGTATGGACGTTGGCGAAAGCAACTATTAACGTAAGAATCTTATTACTAATACGATAATACCCTTAACAAAAATCAACAAAAAGCCAACATCACGCGGTGTTCCCAGGCGGTCACCCATCCAAGTACTGACCGCGCCCGACGTTGCTTAACTTCGGTGATCGGACGAGAACCGGTGTGTTCAACGTGGTATGGACGTTGGCGAAAGCAACTATTAACGTAAGAATCTTATTACTAATACGATAATACCCTTAATAAAAATCAACAAAAAGCCAACATCACGCGGTGTTCCCAGGCGGTCACCCATCCAAGTACTGACCGCGCCCGACGTTGCTTAACTTCGGTGATCGGACGAGAACCGGTGTGTTCAACGTGGTATGGACGTTGGCGAAAGCAACTATTAACGTAAGAATCGTATTACTAATACGATAATACCCTTAATAAAAATCAACAAAAAGCCAACATCACGCGGTGTTCCCAGGCGGTCACCCATCCAAGTACTGACCGCGCCCGACGTTGCTTAACTTCGGTGATCGGACGAGAACCGGTGTGTTCAACGTGGTATGGACGTTGGCAACTGTTATGGCTTATTTAACGTAAAGTTATTGGATGGAAGCAAAATTGGTTTTTAAAACAAAAACTTGTGAAAAATATAATTTCGTCGAACTTATAATTTTTTAATTTCGTTTTATTTTTATTTAAATTCAATTGTTAAGCAATTTTAACTAATGTTGATAGGAGGTAGACAGTCGTAATGCCGTATACATTGACGATAAATAGAAGTAATTTTGCTTAGATTTAATATCAATAATAATAATAGGAAATCTGTGGCGTCATCTAGCGCATTGTAAACATCAAATAACACATTTGGAGGATTCTCTCGGGACTCGGGGAACTCGACTGGAGCTGTTGCAATTTGTTTCTTAAGTGAATTAGGAGACGAGTAAATTAGTCACAAGTGGAGCCCCTTGTTTACCTTGCCTATTTCGAAATGTAGTTAGGAATAAAAGTGTAAAATAACAACAAATGCTATTTAACAATATTCTGTGCTGTGGTTTGTGTCATAATATTAGATGATATTACATCAGTTGCAACATAAATGAGTTAAATTACTGCAGTGGAGGTGTGGATATACTCAAGAGAATCGCTTCAAAGTTAGCCCCGATCTGCGCAGTCGCTGGCCTCTCTTGCCTTCGTTTGGTTCGGTCTTGTGTTTGTTTGGTGTTTTGTTCTAAACGTGTTATTTGTTATTGCCGTATGATCTTCCTTCATTTACGTATGTAGTGTTTTTTACACATTTTATGGTTTAATTTCTATCTTTTCTTATCTCTAAACGATTTCAATTGTCTTGCTTAATTAACAGTTTTATATTATAAATAAATACTCCTTTCATTTAAAAGTGTAGCAATTCGCTTCCAAACTAAATGAAGATTAAGATATAAATAAATTTAGATTGCACATACAATTAAATTTGCGTGATAAAATTGTATATAAATGTGTTATATCTTGTCTTATGTAATAAAGAGATAACAATATCTCATACATAAACAATGTCGTGCGGTCGCTGTGCATGTATGCGGTAAATAGTAGATAACATTATACTTGAAGACATCAAATAATCCTTAATTACATCCTTTCATTGAAGGTCGAATAAAATATACATAAGTAATTATTGTACTGAGGTGATCAGAGGTAAAATTTGACTTGAATACGTTGCAGTAAAAGTCTTGTTATATCAAAAACGAGGTTTTTTGTCACAAATTATTAATAATAATAAAATTTGTGCTGTTTACTTTATCCTATTTCGATGACCTAGTTATTTAACACTAACGGGTTATCGAATTTAAATGTAGCTAAAGCATTTCTTTACTCAACACTAGCGGATATTTATCAAAACATTCAACGCAGAGAAAGTAACAGACACGTCATTGAAAGTGCCTCTTTTATAAAATAACCAGTTATTTAAATGCAAGTGGTTCTTAAGTCCAAAGATCAATGGACCGTGGAAGCTTCGAATATTTTGCTCTATTTTGTAGCAATAAAGTTTGATTTGACAGTAGCATTCCACTGCCGTGACCTTGATCATCCACTTTAGTACGTAATGTCGTCCGTGTATTGTCAAAGAGAATTTTAAGGGATGTGCAATACAAGCGTCAAGGCGGTGGAATCCTAAGCTTAAAAAGAAATAAAGCAATGTATTTTTTTTACTTTACAGAAAAATGGCATTCCTTATATGGGTGTTGTTAGTTGTGATACTCCTCCTGTATTTTCGGCAAGTGTACTCCAAATTCACAAAGGCCGGAGTCAATCACTTGCCTGTGTTCCCACTGCTGGGCAACAGTGGGCACACGCTGCTAAGATTAGACAATATCATAAACCGTATCACACTAGTATATAGGAGCTTCCCTGACGATTAGTGAGTAATTTTACTAATACATTTTAACATTAATCAAAATAGATAAGGAAATGAGTGATTGAAATGTTTCTTTTGTTATTTTTTAGTTTCGTTGGATTCTATGAACTTATGAATCCTTTAATAATAGCCAAAGATGTGAGGCTGGTGAAACAGATAGCTGTGAAAGATTTCGAATACTTTGTGGACAGACGCGGCTTCGGCAAAGAGTTTGCGGATCCACTATTTGGCAGAAATTTGTTACTTTTAAAAGGTATTAGCTTATAATAGTTTTAATTTATAATCTTATGCCGTTTTGAAACCTCGTTAGAGTTAATTTTCTCATTATATTAATAAAAATGTAGTGTACATATTGTGGCTTTACATAAATGTAATATCACTTATATATATAATATACGTGTTATCATTTCTCATAATAAAATGAATTATAATAATTCATAATTATTTAACAATGAATACTATTGCATTAAACTGTTATTTGCATAATTATGTAAGTAGTATGAAACATATCGTCATCCTCTTCATTGCTTTTGTAAAAAAAGAGGAGAACACTATGTTTTGGGTACAATTATCTCGGCAGTAGAATTTAACGATAACGAACGCCTTTACAAAAACAAATGAAGGATAATAATTGAGCAATATGAATAATTACGGAATTTTTTTATGGTATTTGACTTTTAAGACAAAACAACAATACTATGTTTCGTGGAATAATTTGCTCTTAATTATATGTTTCTTGACCTCGTGTTGAACAGGAAAGGTTTTATATTCAGTGTTCATTGCGTGTAATTTATGCACATTGCTATTTTTGGTAAAATAAGTCAGTTTATACAAAACGTAGATGTATTTATTTGATAACATTTAATTTTTAAATAGTGTAGGGCTTTACGACTTAATGTTTAACACATTTTTATATCGATTTGGATATTAACGTTTTAGGATACGTTTCGATTACGAAGTTTATTTGCAATGAATATGAGTAAGTTTAGCCTTGTCTTGAGACAAAACCTTACGAGTCTTTGTTTATAGCAATATTAGTTAATTTGAAGACGTGAGAACATAATTCAAATGTTGTTTTTGTTACTTACAATGTTTTTTATCAAGGACAGACGATTCGCAAAAAATATTACCGATGTTTTTCATTTTATTATTGCATCGTATGATTACAACGATAAAACGTACCGAGACAATACCAATGAGTTAAAGAAAATGATTAATGTTTAGCATTTTATATATTCTTTAATTCCTTAACCTAAAACGTTATTTAGTCAATAACACTTTTGTTTATTTTAAATAACAACATTAAGCATTAGTATTACGATACAACAGATTATTTAAATATAAGATTCTCAAATATAAAATAGAATTATTCAACTTATCATGTTAATAATCTGACAGTATTTCGTCATCGTAAATTAAAAGTATTTTAATTGCTCGTCTGTATGACGGCCATGTTTTTTTGACATTCGAGTAATCGTGAATCGTTTACGATTCCAAAGATATATATGAATTAAAGAAGACTATGTTTTATTTAAAAAGGTACTCCGACTGTGACTCTCACACATATATATTTTTGTCTCTGTTTCTTTTAAGAAAATGATATTTATTCATAAACGAAAATTGGTATAATTACAATATCTATTTAAAATTCACATTGAGGACCAGCTTTTCTTAAGCTTAACTAATCTATTAGCTATTCATTAACTATTTGCTTAAAAAAATCCTTACTAAAATAAATACTCTATTAAGGCGAAGAATGGAAAGCTATGCGCTCAACTTTGAGCCCAGCGTTCACGAGTACCAAGATACGGTTGATGGTCCCCCTGATGGTGGAAGTTGGTGACCACATGATAAGGACATTAAGAAAGAAAATCGACGACTCCGGTGGTAAGTGGTATAATTTAATAAATAAGATTTTGACATCTTACAATACATTTGAATCTGTTACACTTTCATTTGCAGTAAATTACGTAGACATCGAATGTAAGGACTTGGCCACGAGGTACGCCAATGACGTCATAGCGTCGTGTGCGTTCGGTCTTCGTGTGACGTCACTAGAGGAAGGTACACAGTTCTACGAGTACTGCAAGAGAATGACCACTATCAGTTTTGTTGGCATGCTGAAGATTCTTGGCTACAGAACGTGTCCTAAGATTTTGAAGGTAAGGTGTTTCTATTCCACTATCTACGCATCCATGCTTAGACCAAATACTTAAACAATACCTGAAAAAAAAACTGGGGTAAAATGTTGTCAGATGCGTTTTTTGTCAGTGGAAATTCGCCTTTATTTCGTTTTTAGCCCTACCCTTGTTATAAACATATTTATACGTTTGGTTTATTTACAGATGTTCAACATAACGTTATCTTCAAAAGCCCTGTCATCGTTCTTCAGCGACTTAGTGTTGGGCACAATGCGGCAGCGCGAGGAGCAGCACGTGCTCAGGAATGATATGATACAGCTACTCATGGAGGCCAAGAAAGGTAGCCGCAGCACGTTTAACTTTAATCGTTAGAGACAAGATAACAGAGTTTAAAACATTGCATTTAATTCTTAGGAACGCTGTCTCATGACAGTAAAGTGGTGAAGGACGCAGACGCCGGCTTCGCGACCGTCGAGGAATCTGTCGTCGGCAAGACTAAAGTGGTTAAAGGTAAAAGATGCGCGAAATTTCTTTATTTACGTTCACAGTGCGACGTCCGTTTGTAATTTACCTGAGCAAGTCATAAAGATTAAGCATATTGTATTTTATATCAAACACTAAATGACGTGTTATGATTCGGCATTACACTGTCATCACTGCTTGTCAGTTTGCGGAACTTTATTGTCTAAACGAATGATTACTGTAAATAAAATACCGAAATATACCTCGTCACTTTGTGTGAATTCGATCGATTTATGCGTTTTGAAGATTATTAGGCAGTTTGGTGATTCGACAAACAGGAACAGCTGGTATTGTAATAACTTTGTGACACTGTCATTGCAGAGTGGAGTGACGTGGATCTGGTGGCACAAGCAGTGCTGTTCCTGATCGCGGGCTTCGAGACTGTGTCCACAGTGATCGCCTTCACGCTGTACGAGCTGGCGCTGCACCCGGATGTGCAGGACCGACTGCTGCACGAGATACGAGAGAACGTGTCGCAACACAAGGATAACACTATTGACTACAACGTTATACAGCGCATGAACTACTTGGATATGGTGGTCTCAGGTTCGATGTCACTTTGATGTCATATGTTTTTGTATAAATAATGGAAAATATTGATCATTTTTATTATTGTTCTACAAAAAAAACTATGAATGTTAATAATATAGTTAGACGTTAATATAATTACAGAGGTGCTACGTCTGTGGCCGCCGGCTCCTGTGGCTGATCGTAAAGCTGCCAGAGACTACAACTTAGGCAGACCTAACAGCACTGCACAAGAAGATTATATTGTATGTTACAATTCATTATAATAGACTTAAAGTCGTACTCTCCTACTATTCATTGCATTATCTTATAAATTTAAATGAATATAATTCCCTTAACCGGAAATAGTTTCCTTAAAATAAGCACCAACAATCGCCAACGTCCATACCACGTTGAACACACCGGTTCTCGTCCGATCACCTAAGTTAAGCAACGTCGGGCGCGGTCAGTACTTGGATGGGTGACCGCCTGGGAACACCGCGTGATGTTGGCTTTTTGTTGATTTTTGTTAAGGGTATTATCGTATTAGTAATAAGATTCTTACGTTAATAGTTGCTTTCGCCAACGTCCATACCACGTTGAACACACCGGTTCTCGTCCGATCACCGAAGTTAAGCAACGTCGGGCGCGGTCAGTACTTGGATGGGTGACCGCCTGGGAACACCGCGTGATGTTGGCTTTTTGTTACTTTTTTTGCACAATTATTTGGTTAAAATTTTAAGGATGATATTAATATTTTAATGATATTAATATTTTTATTTTTTAATTAAAATTAGAAACTTAATCAGTTTAATATATATTTTTTAATTTAGTATGTACTTATAAATTCACAGATTCGAAGAGGCGAAACAGTTCAGATTCCTATTTGGGCGTTTCATAGAGATCCCAAGTATTTTCCTGACCCCGAGAAATTCGACCCCGAGAGGTTTTCAGATGAAAACAAGCATAAGGTTGACCCTTTCAGTTATATGCCATTTGGTGTTGGTCCCAGAAATTGTATTGGTAAGCATTGTTCTAACACCTCGTGATTTGGTAAACGGCTTGCACATCTCAGAAAAGAATAGTAGAAAATTCACCAGTTTCTTTCTCGTAGTTATTAACTGTTATATTACTGTGTGTTACACCTTATTACTTATAAGAAAAAATATAATTCCCTCCAATGCTGCAGCCGCAATGAAACTACAATAATTGTAGTAATTTCAGGTTCAAGATTTGCGCTATGTGAGGTAAAAATTGCTCTATACCAGCTGCTGCAACACATAGAGGTGTCTGCGTGTCCGCGGACGCCGGTGCCAGCGCGTCAGCCTGACAGCTTCCAAGTGCGGCTGTGTGGCGGACACTGGCTCAGGATGAAGCCGCGACACTGATTCATTTGCTATATATAAAACACTAGTTTTTCATTTGAAATGAGGTGGAAAATACATAATGTGTTACTCGATATATTATCTGTGTCTTTAATAAGATGAGTTGAATAGTTGCGGAGTTATCGAGTAAATGGGAAGAACAAACGTTATTGCAGGGGAACCTTACACATTTCCGGGATCTTAGGTAGCCCATGTATTTTTCCAAATTGTTTCTATACAAAATTTGAGTGAGATACGTGCAGTCGTTCTGGTGATACCTCCTAACAAACATCCATCCATCCAAACGAATGCAATGCGAATGCATTTATATTAGTAAAATATAGTAAGAAATAAGATTGTGATATTATTATATTTTATTCATTAAATTCAATGTTATTCTAAAAGTTGTTTTACTTTGAATGAAACCGTGAATGTAGAACTATCCACTGGTTTAAGATTTTTTAAATCTGTATATTCTTTGAGCTCTGAGCCCCTCGGTGGGGACGTACAGTGAGCTGATGATGATGATACTTCTTTTCGAGTTTAAACACATAATTAATTCTGTTCGGCAACAAAAATGTTAGGTTAAGTATAGTATACATTTAAAAAAATTCGAAAGAAAAGGGTAAAGCAATAAATAAAACTCAATTATTATTATATTTGTCGTTGGACATTTTATTTCTTTTTCATGACAGAAGTTGAATTATCTTAAGTAATGCAGAGTTTTTATATATTTTTACGAGTTGATCATCTGCGTGTTACGTCTCTACGTATAAACTTCTATTGCCTGATAATAAGGTGAGGCGGCGAATTTATTAGCAACGGGGGACTAAAGTATGATTATCCGAACTTTTATTAAATTTCAGAGAAGAGTATTTTATAAATGGATATTGCTTTCATATTCCCGTACAATATTCTTCATAATATCAAAGTGTACAGACCAAACAAACCAACCAAAGAACCTTGTACAAAGTCATTTTGTTTCAATAAAAATTATTTCTGTTTTATCAATCACCGAAAGGTAATATAAAAATGATTATACGAGTATTAACACTGTCTAGATGCGTTGTAAGGTTTGTGACTCTGCTATGATTTCGTTATCGATAGCAACATAAGTGATGTTAATTGATTAGAGAAGACTTCCTCGTTCTTAGTACTTACATGGTGTTGTTTCATTGTTTTGCACTACCATTCCCGTCCTGAAGCCATTCAAGTAATCAGTCCCTAATAAGTTGTGTTCCACACTCCACAGGTTGCTAATAAATCGGCTTGTAGGATTTTTTTTTATCTTATTTGCGAAACGCGTATTAGAATAACAATATGACAATCTGCATACATATTTAATAATCAATAATGTAATCAAGATTGATAATGATTTAATCAATATTTATTAAATGGATTAAACTTATCAAAAATTATTTTTAGCAGGGATATACAACTTTTAAAACAAATATAATTTGAAAAATGAAGACATATTACTGCAGTAGTGAAGCAGGCTGCCCTCCTTCGCTGAGCCACGCCGTGCCGCTGTCCGCCTTCTCAAACACCTCCACTGCCGCTTTGCCCACTGCCTCAGGCTTCTGGAACACCTGCCTTAGTGCAAATGCTTTAACCTCTTCCATCAATTCCGGAATAAATGTCACATTGCCACTTCCCAAGTTGGTGTCAGAGGTGAATCCTGGGCAAATAGCCACCACCCTAACACCATAGTTAGCAAAGTTTTTAATATGTCCCAGTGATTTCGTAAATCCCATGACTGCAAACTTTGAGGCGTGATATACAGGCACATATGGGTCCACTCTGTATCCATAAATTGAAGCTATGTTTATTATTGTTCCTCCTTTTCCAGACTTGTCCGTCCTCATGTGTTTCCAAAATTTCAAGGACCATTCCATTAAAGCAATCACGTTTACATCGATGGTTTTTCTTAAGTAATTGTCGTTGCATATTCCAGCGTTGTTGACTAGCACATCGACGGCGGTGAACTCTTTTATGATTTTCTCAAAAATAACTTCCAAATCTGTTGTAACATCACATTTATAAAATACAGCCTTGTTTTTACCATATTTCACTTCAAGTTTCTTAATAGCCTCGGCCCCAAACTTTTCATTGATATCCAAAATAATGACCACTCTTGGATCCTTTTGTAGGAAATTCTCGGCGATTTCGTATCCAATGCCCATAGCTCCTCCAGTGATCACAATAGTTTTATTTTGCAACTCTCTCGCCATTTTCTGTAGACGATATCACGAAAAGCAAGGAAAAATTGGAAATAAACACATGCAGAGTCGTCGACGAGTTGCGTTGAAATGCAGATTGCTAAAGTAGAAAGCGAACGTTATGTAATGTTGTATGTCTATTTAAGGCTGATTAATTTGATAATTGAAACAGTTGATTATTGTGTTGAGTAAAATCGGTTTTGAATCTTTTCGATTTTCGATTGTTGTTCTCATAGAACTTGAAATCGATAATTTCGTTATTATTGTTTTAGAAATATTATGTAAACAATTTTTTTTGTGTGAGTGATTATTATAAATGCGAATGTCTGGATGTAGGCATGGATATTTGTTAGAAAGTATGACGAGAACAGTTGCATCATGGATCTCGCTGAAATTTGGTATGGGTGTAGAACATAGCCTGGAAAAACATACAGCCTATTAGTTATTATTATTTTGTTTCCATACGAATGGAGTCACCGGCTACGGCTAGTATACACACAAAGTATATACACTTAAAAGTAGAGATAAGATATGGTTATTTCTTGAGGAATGACATTAAGGTTGCGTGCAAGTGACAGCGGGACGATACAAGTTATCAAATACTCAAAATACAGTGTTCATTATTTATTAATTGAATTTCAATTTACATTATTATATAACAAAAATGTGCTGTTAAATAATTAATTAGTAATCCACGTCACATACACATTATTTTATTTTATTATTAGCTCACTGTCACAAAGACCTGCATAATTTGGGTTTTACCAATAAGTGAATGTAAATTCTAAACATATCACATATTCATGTCTTGTTTGAAAACCATGGGAAGAAGGAGCAGAAATGGTAATCAGTTTAATCAGAATTTCATACACTTGCGATAAAGACTATCCTCGTTCAAAATTTTATACTTGAATTATGGGTTGTGCCCCAATAATGCGCCATGCCGTGCCGCTGTTGGCGTTCTCAAAGACTTCCACTGTTGCCTTGCCCACTGCCTCAGGGTTTTGCCACGGCTGCTCTTTTGCGTAAGCATTGAACTCTTCCATTACATCAGGAGTCCATGTTATCATATCTCTTGCTAAGACAGTCGTAGTGAAGCCAGGACAAATAGCCACCACCCTCACGCCAAATTTAGTAAAGTTGTTAACATGTCCTAATGATTTCGTAAATCCCATTACAGCAAATTTTGAAGCGTGATATACAGGCACGTAAGGGTCTATTACGTATCCATATATCGAAGCCATGTTTATTATAGTACCTCCTTTTCCAGATTTGTCCTTCCTCATGTGTTCCCAAAACTTCAAGGACCATTCTATTAGAGCAGTCACGTTTATATCGATAGTTTTTTTGAATGCTGAATCGTTTAACATTCCCGCGTTGTTTACAAGCACATCGACGGTACTGTAGTCTTCTATGATTCGGTTGAATATCACTTCAATATCTGTTATAACATTACATTTTAAGAAAACAGCTTTCTCTTCGCCGTATTGAGCAGAAAGTTTCTTGATAGCGTCAGCTCCAAAGTCTTCATTGACATCCAAAATAATGACCACTTTAGGATTCTTTTGTAAGAAGCTCTCGGCGATTGCGTATCCAATGCCCACAGCACCTCCAGTTATCACAATAGTTTTATTTTGTAAGTCTTTTGTCATTTTCTGTAATTATATGTAACTCTCTGCACGGAAATGTAAGTACTAAACTGAATCGTAGCATTCTTATTTATCTTCCTAGGTACTCGTGGTGGGGCAGATATATCTACTATCAAGTCAAACGTCATACCAGTGATAGTACCCATAATGTGTCTATAATGCAAAATGCACTTTTTAATATCATTTTTTTTACTTATGACATGCGTTATTTACTAATAACTTTTTATCATATTGATTCCTTTACCACGGATGGAAAAACTTCGACGTTTATATTTTAATATTTAAAGAATATTTTAAGACTAAGAAATAACAAAAAAATTACTTGTCGATTCAATCTGTGTTTACTTAACGAATAAAATATAAAAATAAAGAAAATAAAAAAAACATAAATTTACTGAGTAACTTAATGTTCTTTTGGCATTTGTAAATCCAAGTCAAAACAAAGTATGTAAATACACAAAAGACTTGGAGTCATTGCCATTCAAAGCCGGTGAATGGAAGAGCAATCTCAGAATAGCAGAGATGTAATTCAGGGCCCTTGTTTCAGCTGTCAATGCAATTTGCAGTTTTCATTTCGTCGGTGAGCACGCTTCTGTTGACTTGCAACAAAAGCTCCACATAAGCATTGATGATGAGCCAATCATGTTGTGTGGCACAAATCGTTCTATGATACCTTGATCTGTCATATTTCTTTAAGTATTATATAATTTACACAACTATTAAAAAGTTAAATTTGGCATCCTAAATAACGGCCACGAAGAATATATCATAAACATGAAACGCTTAGGTAATTACTTAAACTGAAAAGTCATCAAAAGTTGTGTCAAGTTTTAAGTAATTCAGCTGAAGGACCTCAGGATACAAATTATCATCCTCCTTTCCAGACCTTTAGATGATATGTTAAGTGAAAACCCTTTAGTGGTACTAACATACGAAGGAACCTCTATAATAACCCTTAATTTGACAATGTATTTATGTTGTGGCATACATAAGTTTTCAGGAAAACTAAGATTTTCAGATTTTTTAAATTATTTTTTTATGATAGTTTTATGTGTATCAATTACAATTACATCAAAAAAAAAAGGTTTTTACTGCATTTTATACTTTGCCAAATTAAGGATTAAACTTCGAGTTTCAAAGCCTTGTGTCCAAACTGTGAAAAAAAATCTAGTCTTCAACTAGAGACTCCTAAAGGATAAATTTGATATAACCCTGAAATCAAATAAAATTCTTGACCGTAACAATTTTTATTATTTCAACTAAAACAACAAATCACCGAAAAAACGTAAATAAAATTCTTCTGGAATCTGTATTAAAGGAGTTATTTAATTGTGTACCACACTCTGATTAGCACATTTTTTGTTGTCATTGAACTTTAATTATATTCTTACGATAAAATGTCGCAGTTAATATAACCATTGTTCATAAATGTTATGAGAATTGATATAAAAGTAATTGCTACTTTGATAACTTCTATCAAGTGCGTTATACAACGCGATGTTATAATTAAACAAACTCGAAACTCTTCCTACTGTCGATAAAAAAAGGGTCTTGACAGACGGACGGACGGACAACAAAGGGATCCTATGAGTTAATTTTTTTCCTATGAGGTAAGGAACCCTAAAAATAATCCGCGATGGCGTTGCCATTTGTTGTCAAGTATTATTCAAGATGGTCAATCCAAAATAGCATCTCTTGTATAACTTCATGAGTCTTGTCTTATTCTGCACTATTTTGGTTTCGGGAAATAATACTTAACATTAAAATTATTCTGTTTGAAATCTTCGTAAAATTATATACAAAATGAGAAAGTTTAGAAGGATGGATGGAAGTTTCATAGAAAATATCTTCGAAACCACTCAACAGAATTTGATGAAATTTGGCATATATGAAGAACACAGTCTGGAAGAACACAGTCTGGAAGAACACATAGGCTACTCTTTTTTTCTCTCCGCCCGGAGGGAGTCGCGGCCGCCCGCTAGTATAAGTATAAATGATGTAAATTTTACTAATAACGATTTAAATTATTTACACTACGATAACATGTGTAATTACGTAAACTTGATAAGAAATGAAAACGTACAGCTCTTAAAACCATATCGAATATTTTTGCAAAAATATTACTTTTGTAACTGATAAAAACATACTCAAAGTAAACTTTATATACAAGTCGCATTAAAGGCTAAGTTATTGAAGATTTTTTTTATTAAATTCGTGTCGTTGTTACGAGTGAAAGTGGAGAGAAAATTTTTAACATTTTTCTTAAGGTAAGATACAAGGTTTTTGCATTAGCATAATGATACCCTGAAAATGTGTTTTACGAGGTAAGTGGTAAGTTATGGCAAGAGTACGACGTACACATTTAAATTTAACCTTTTATACTTGCTTAACTTGCAAGTATTCTACCTATCAGCGCAGTGATATTTTGCAAAACATTACTTCAAGCTTGTTGCACCAATGATTGGAACTGCGTTAATGACAGTTTTGTTTCATATTTACTTCGAAAGAGGGCGCTGTAATGACTGTACCCATAATGTGCATCACATAAAAACATTTTACCACTTTTTTAAACTTCTGTGAATTAATTTAAATAAAATAAATATTAGATATTGGAATTTTATTAATAAATAATTATGATATAATAATAAATTTAATTGATTTAACGTCGGTTTCTGAGACCGATATCCCCGTGTTAAATATATTGTTATCTCTGTTTTGTTAAAGATAAACAGAAAAGAAGATTAATTTTATACAGATATTTCGGTCTCAGAAACCAACGGTTTGTAATTTTATTATAATATATATATGTATGTTGGAATTGTATTGAACTGTCAGTTGAGCCATGCATATTGTAGACGCGGTGACCCGGCAACACTCAAGGTGAAGTCGAGCGATGTCGAAATAACGACCCCGAATGTTTACCCTACACCTCAAGACTATGTATTTTACAAGTGAAACTAAAAATAAGACACTCCTACATTCTCAATGTATTTAAGAATGTCAAGAATGTGTTATATACATATTTACTTTCTGATATACATATTTATACTACTTTATACAAAGATTAGTACAAAAAGATAGACAAAATCGAGCTCCATTACTGGTATCAATTAACTTGATAGATGTATGTATTTTGTAACATGTTTCTTGTATAGAACTTGTGTTATGTGAAGCGTGTCATATAATTATTTCGTACATTTGGTCCGCGATGAGATTTCTGACGTATTGCCTACGAGTTGTTTGTCAACTTCAGCTAGGAATGTGACGAGCGTATTGCGTTGTGTCTCAAGTTAAAAGATATTGCGAATAACTGATTAAATAATTGAAAGGAGACTTGATAAAATGTTATATAGACCGACTTATTTTACTGACCCGGAGGTGTTAAGTGAATTTAAATTACAAAAGCTGATTAGTGTCGACTTGACAATCGCAATAAGGTGCCACAAGGTTCTTGCACAGGGACCTACCATGAACATTTGTGAGAAAGTATTCGTAACGTTATCGACAAAATTTGTATTACATTTGTTGTTGTACTAATGTAATAAAATGTCGCAACGAACACTTTTTCGCAAATTCTAGAGCTCCTTGTAACAATCTTATCATTTCTTGATTTATGTTAAAATTTAAATAGCTCAGGAAGTTTACATATTTCCTGATACAACTAACTAATGTAACAACGCATCCTTCATCAAATTAAGTAAGTTTGTAGAACTATAAATTAATTAGACATTGACATTTCTTTATACGCGTATGTTACTATTTTACACTGAACCTAGTCAGATAACTCATCTGTCGATTCTTAATATGTAGGTAATATGCTATTACAACCTAAAATCAAAAAGAAACGTTTATATAAAGCATTATTATTTCACTGAGAAAATACTTGAGCGTTAATATTGTGGAGGACAAAATAATTAGTTCTGAGAGCGACAGGGTTAATTAGTTATTTAGGGTAGGTAAGAGCTCGCCAAGATATAATAAACATTATATAAAGCTTCACAAAGAATGTTACTCTCATCAAATATTTAATTCGGATAACATTAATTCTATACTAGCTGTCGTCCGCGACTCATTCCGCGTGGAATTAAAAAACAAACTTAATTAGTAGCCTATGTGTTCTTCCATACTACGTTCTACATCTATGCCAAATTTCAGCGAAATCCATGCACCCGTTCAGGAGATACATTCTTACAAACATCGATCCATCCAAACATTCGCATTTATAATATTATTAAGAAATATAGATCTTACATCTTACTTCTTACTAAGAAGAACAGAGGATTTACTGATGTTAACTCAGTAGTATAACAGGTGGAGAATCGAATTGACGAATTACTTTGGTTGGGATAAGATTCGACACGAAGATGTATAAAATACAATTGAAGTAAAATAAAAAAGGAGATAAATTATGTCGTAACTAAGAACAGTTAAAATAATAATTAATGAATGAGATAATGTGCTATTATTATATTAAAACGCATATTTTATTAAGGTTATCTTATTTTCACATTGAAAAAGTTAATGTTATAAATTTTTTTATAATAGTATGATGTGCTTTTAACATTTGACTTAACTTTTTAAACTGGGCATGTTAATTAATTTTCATTCGCTGCGTTGCTCCTCGCCCGAGCTTGAGTTCAAGCAACAGTAACATCTCCCGCGAATTCTAAAGAACATTCGAATTAATTAAGAACATTTGCATGTTTTTCCAAATGAAAGTAAGGCGCGCTGTTATTGAATAGATGTGCTCTTTATAAGTTTATTCGAGCAGAAACTTATTCGCGGTACAATTTTTATAGAGTGTTTTTGCTATTTGAAATACTAGCAAATTATATCAAACTTAAAAGTTATAAATAAATAATGTAGTGTATTGAAAAGCGCACTTAAAATTTACATTAATAAATTGTAATGATACTGCCTCTATTCATCTTAATCGAGAGCAGTTGTTAGTTCGAGGTAACGAGCCGTCGCTTGCGGTGGATTGATACAAGTGGGTTGGGAGGAGGGCAGCTAAAAGCTTTCCAGCATTAGTTCTCATCATGGTAAGGACT